ACTGGAGGCGGGGGCCGCGGGGGCGCGCGCGCGGGCGCGCCGGCCTGGCCTGCCCCTCCGAGGAGCCGTAGCGCGGGAGGGAGGCGGCAGCGCAGTGGTCCGTCGGTCCGCCGGTCCGTGGGTCTGCCCGGCCCCGCCCTGCCTCCCGGAGCGGCTCGGCTCCATGGCCCGCGGCGGCGGCGGGAGGTGGCCCGGGAGCCTCGGGGACCGCTGACCGGGCGGTGGGGCCGGGCCATGGGGGACAGAGCCGTCCACAGCTGCTGGAGCCGGGCTCCCTACCCGAGCTGGAGCGGCGCCCCCTGCTGAGCCCCGAGCGCCGCGTGAGAGGAGGGCGCGCGCGGCCCCCCACCCAGGGCCCCGACATTCCAGACCCGGCCCGGCTAGGGGGCCGCCCGCGCGCCGCCACAGATCCCAGCCCAGGACCCGGTGAGCGAGGCACCGGCGCTACCCCCGGCCTGGCTGCACCCCACCCTACCCCCATCCCGCTAGCCTCCTGGGCTCCGGCGGCCGCCCCCATCCGGCCTCCCTCATTGTCCTCGCTCGCCCCGGCCTTGTGTCTCGCAGAGGCGCTCGGCCCCGGCCCCACATCCACATCCCCCACTGCATGCACCCCTCCCCAGGGCTCCACACCCACCTGTCCTCTGCTGCCTCCCCCGTCCCGGGGTGCCACGTGTTCAGCCTCCCAGCCCCGCCCAGACGCACCCCTCAGCTTGGTGGCTAGCCTGACCCAGAGCCCCTGCCCTGCAGGGAGGGGTGGGAATACTTGCACGTGGGTCTAGGTGTATGGTTACGCTTGTATAAGTCTAAGCCGCGGTTTGTTGATATATGTGGCTCGTATGTTACTGTCACCCCAAGTGTGTCTAGCTCTATATGTAGGTCTCTGTGTGTCCCTTGAGTGTGGGTGCCTACTGCTGGTTCTAAAGCTGTCTATGTGATTTTGTGAATGTTTGAGATACTCTGCTCTCAGGAGCACCGCCAGAAGTGTTTGTTGACCTTTTGGGACTACAGGGGAGACCTGGTCCAAGCAAGGACACCCCCAGCCCCCCACCACCACCTCTGCCAGCCTGTGAACTTTACTCCTCTGGGGTCTATTTCAGGAGTCAGAGCTAGCTTCGCTTATCGGGCTCCAGGGCTAGCTAGCTTGAGATCTTAGGTGAGGGCTCTCTATTGCTTGCCCCACAGTATGCTTTCACCCCTTGTTCCAGTGGGAAGGACCTTTTTAAACATCCTCTCCTTTTGGGGTAGGGGCGCTCCTGAATGCTGAAGGACTCATCTCAGCCTGGTCCTAGTTGGCTAGCCCCTTGCTGTTGGGACCTGAGTGCCCAAACTGGCCATGGGTCTAAGTGACTTCCCATCATGGCCCTTGGAAGGACTAAATGAAGTCATACTATAAAGTATTCCTACGTGGTAGGCACTCAGTAAGTGATCCGTTCTCTAAACCATGTGTCCCGTGTTGAGGGTTCTATCCTATGAAGAGGCTGGTCTCTGGGGCACAGGTGGAGTCTACAGACGAAAGTGGTTGGGTGCTGAGGTGCAATCCTGGGTAATCAAATTCACCTGTCTGCACTGCTGTGGGCATGCGTGTGTAGACTTGTCCAGTGAGGGTTTATATGTATGTTTAGGTGGCTTAGTGCTGAGGTATGCCTAGGATAGCAGATGCTGAGCTGCCAGCAACTGTTGGTGTGCTTGCAGGTAGAATACAAACAAGCCTGTGAGTGTCAAGGTGTATGAAAGGTAAGTAGGATAGGGTTCTGTGAATGAGCAGCCAACTAGGAAGCAGGTGGGTTCCATCACCTGTCCTATCCTGACCTGTGGGATCTGTTTCTCTCCCTCTGTTCAGGCTGGCAGCCGGATGCTTGGGCCCATTGGGCGGGCCATTGGCCACCTGCGGGATGAGCAGACTGCTGGGGGGGACGCTGGAGCGGGTCTGCAAGGCTGTGCTCCTTCTCTGCCTGCTGCACTTCCTTGTGGCTGTCATCCTCTACTTTGACGTCTACGCCCAGCACCTGGCCTTTTTCAGCCGCTTCAGTACCCGGAGCCCAGCCCATGCCCTCTACCCTGCAGCCAGCAGCAGTACCAACTGCTCTCGGCCCAACGCCACTGCCGCTAGCTCCGGGCTTCCTGAAGTGCCCAGTGCCAGGCCTGGCCCCACAGCTCCAGTCATTCCGCCCTGTCCTGATGTGCCGCCTGGTCTTGGTGAGCCTGTAGAGTAGGGCCTGTTGTAGGGGTGGGAAGAGGATCCTACCAATGTGACTAGGGAACTGGAGTGCTTAACCATGGGGCACCAAGGCTCCAGGTCTATTGAAAGAGGGCAGTTCCTGGGGCTCTGTTGCCCACTCCCAGGTGGCTAGTGTCCCTGGATTCTGGCAAAGACCCTGACTCTTGACACTGTCCTGCTGCAGTGGGCCGAGTGGTCATCGAATTCACCTCACCCATGCCTCTGGAACGGGTGCAGAGGGAGAACCCAGGCGTGCTCCTGGGCGGCCGCTATTCTCCACCCGACTGCACCCCAGCCCAAACGGTGGCAGTCATCATCCCCTTTAGACACCGGGAGCACCACCTACGCTATTGGCTCCACTATCTGCACCCCATGTTGAGGCGGCAGCGGCTGCGCTATGGTGTCTATGTCATCAACCAGGTGCGTGGTCTGCAGCCCTTGGCTGTGCACCTGTGGATGTGCTGGCCAGGGATGTGGGGTGTACACCCTCGTGCCTGTTGGTGGACACACGGGGCTGGAGAAATCTGTGGGTCCTTGTCTGTTAACGGTTGTGTGAGTCCACATGGGTATGGAGAGTGCATGTCTGTCAGTGAACACAGGAAGGTTGTGTGTGTGGAAGGGATCTGAACAGCTAAATGTTGGCATGTACCCTTGTGGTGTGTACATGGCTTGTTTTGACATCTCTTTGGGATATCAGGCATTGGGGCTCAGAGAAGGCCTGATGCATACCATACCTTCACCCCGCTGGGGAACTCGGGAGGAAGGGATATGGTTGGAATTGGAGTAAGGGCAGTGGGAACACAGAGGCCTGGTTCATCTCTGTAGCTTATGAGAGATGAGCAGGCAGCAGGGGGAGGAGGTGAACCTTCTAGGAAGAGGCGCCTGGAAGACCAGAGCTTAGCAAGAGAACTGATCCCTTGTGTTGAGGAACTATTGGCTGAGGGGTGGAGTTCAACATTCGGGCTGGGTAGCAAAGGTTAGCTAGAGAAATTGGGGAAGGCCACATCAAGAAAAGCTTGAAAAGTATGCTTGAGAGTTGAAGTCTAGCCTGAGCTTGTGGGGCACCATTGTTTGAAATAGGGGTAACCCGTCTGAAATAGGGGTAACCCGTCTATGTTGTTGTGATTACATGTGACGAATGGAGGGAGGGGTTGCCAAGAAGCAGTGTGACCAATTAGGAAGGGATGACAGCAGCCAGAAAAGAGCTGGAGAACGTGCTTCTGGGTGAGGCAGGACAAGGGGTGAAGGGAGACCTTACTGTAAGAGAGGAGAGACGTGTGGAAA